TAAGCTACCGATAAGGTACCGATAAGGTACCGATAAGGTACCGTTAAGGTACCGTTAAGCAACCGATAAGGTACCGATAAGCTACCGTTAAGCTACCGTTAAGCTACCGATAGTGAGTGCGCTATCGGTATTACCCGCCTTATCGTTACTATTTCTTGCCGGAACTTTATCGATATCTTACCGACAACCGATTGAACACCCCTAATTCACCGAGCAGCTATCAACCGCTTCACAGCTCCAAGGTCCGCCCGGCATTTCAGTGTTATTAAGGTAAGGTTTCCCCGGTACGCCCGGTGTTTTAGTTCTTAAGCCCCGGTTAGCCCGGAGAATAGTTTAGGGACCCCGGCTAGCCCGGTGAACTGCAGTATAGGGACCCCGGCTCGAGCCTGGTGTTAGTTAGGAACCCCAGCTCAAGGGAGCTGAAGCCAGGCCCGCGCGCTCTTGGTAGTTTTTCATATCTGTAAATTAAAGTAGGGATTGTGGCCCCAACAATCGGTTCAAACACATTTTCGAGGACCCCTAAGAAGGAAGCGTTATATCTCCGCGGAGACGATTTTTCGTGAAATTTTAACATGCGCATCGTTCTTCTTGTACCGAAAACTGTAAGATTCGACTATTTGCAGGCAAATCCCTCCCGAGCTAAAGTGACTCATTGCGCCGAAAACCCAAAAATATGCGAGATTTTAGGGGGAAAAACGCGATTTTCCGCCAATTATGCAAAATGGCGGCCATTTCCAGACAAATTTTAGTTAGCAAACATCTGATTTGGACTATGCAACCAAAATTACATAGGAATCAATCTTAATTTTTTCACCTCACATTTTCGCAAAATAAAATCACAGATTGACTGGACTAATGCATTGACTGCACTGATTGACAGCATACCATATAATTTGCTGCGCTCATAAGATTTTGCAACTTATATTTCTTTTTGAACAGAATGTACTCAGAAATGTTTGCAGCCATAAACACAACGAAAATGCCCAAAAATGGCAAGAGAATACCGCGACGTTTCATAGGAATGCCTGTTTACCAATTGCAGGTATCCTACTTGTCTCTTGACATTTTCATACACCAGATAATCTTTCGAATGAAATCTCTACAGTTTCATCACACGGAACAAGATCATTGATGTTTATGGGTATGTAGTATAGTATAGTCTATGGATACGACATGGGGGGTTACAGTGCTGAGACTAAATTGACGCAGAAGCCCAAAAAAAAGTGCCTTTATGGGTCACAAGGAATCTGAATCTGACAGCCAAACAGCCCCTCGGGGTCTTGCTGATGGGTCCCTGGACTTATTATTAGTTTAGGGCCCCCTTCTACCCTATCAGCAAGAAGGGGTTTGAGCTATTATACTTCGCGGGGTAGACCCCTTTTTTTGGCACAGATTGACTGGACTACATGCATTGAATGCTTCAGTTATCTTCTTGACATTTTTGACTACATCCACGACCAGCGAAGTACAAAACATACCTGAAAATTCATCATGGTAGGAAAGGTAACTTTTCTGATGCTCTCAGTATCTAAGTGGCAGCCATGTTGGCTACCATTTTGGTTCTTAGAGAACTCCTATGAGCCCATTTTGTTATTTGGACCTCATTTTGGGATGCTACGATTATAAAAACCGACATAGGAACACCTCACCTGACGATACCTACCTCAACAAAATATTTCACTCTGTAAAGGCAGCCATTTTGGCCACTATATTGAATTTTTTTAGGCTTCAATGGGTCTGTAGTAAGTTGTTGACCTTATAGATAAAATCTACGACTCAAAATCCTCTGCAAAGGACACCTTACTTGGCATTTTTACATACCTATCGGAGTTTTGACCCCATTGTTGAAATTTAGGCGGCCATCTTGGATTTTGGGCATTCCTTTGGGTCGGAGAGGACTTTAAACCTTAAATTCGGATTCTATGACAAAATTACACAAAAATAGACCCCAAACATGACATCAAAGGCAAATTCCAAAATTTTCAACCCCCGAACCCCGATTTTGGCCGCCATCTTGAATTGGGGATGTTAGACGCAAAACGGAGCTTGACTGCATCACAATTCTTTTTCTACACGACAAAACGAAGAGATTAAGACATTTTTCGCACTTGCTTCACTCATCGTTTCACGGGAGTCCATAACCAACCGGATTATCACATTAATTCGTTATTTAAAAACTTTCAAGTATCTGTGAACCTCTTTTAGCAACAACAAAAAAACTAATATGCGCACCAAATATAAGGGGATGTAAGCAGCTAGATTGGGGGATTGTTGCACTGAGGGGTGCGGAGATAGCTACACGGCTAGACAAAAATAAAACCATATTTAAGCCTCTTGAATGACTCTATGCTCCCTGAAAGTTGGGACTGTGATTCCGTGTGGCCTTTTGTTGTGGGAGATGGGACAAACTTCCATATTCTAAGACCATGATAAGGGTTTCAACAGCATGCAGTGTTTGATTTCTCAGAGTTATGAAGCAATTTTAAACATATCTAGCAATTGCTATAGAAAACTGTTGATATGATATCTAATGATACATGCCTGATGTGAGCCTAATACTGCTGCTAAATTGGTGTACGTCCTGTGGGCTTCAGGATTGGGAAGGAGCGCTCCTGCATAGTGCTGATGGAGGTTCCTTGAAGATACTAGGTCTGGGCTTGATCCACTGACCTAGAATTGATATAGGTGTGAATTAGGCAATTGCAAGGCAGTTGCAGAAAATAAACTGAAATTGGCTAACTTTCTGGAACTTTGTCTTCACGTTAGATGCCACTTTCATAAGAATACCATTTTTATAATAGGAAAAAGAGAAGTACACACATAAAAATTTTACCTGAGCATTGATAACTGAATGTTGACCGAGGGTTTGGGAAGCAAGATCAGGAGTGCTGTTGCTACTAGGTCGAGTTTGTGTTGTTGGATATGGTGGTGGTGGTTTATAGAGTTGCAATAGTTCTACTCCAGACACCAACCCATTCTCATCAAGAGTCCCTCGTCCTCTGAAATTTTGAGTCAAACATTTTTTTAAAATGGAAATGATACTGACTTCAAGGACTGAAAAAAAATTAAAAGTCAAGTAGCACATCGCAACGAAAATATTGAAATTAGTTTGCAATTTTATGCAATTAAATTGCTCTTTTTGATCATGAAATTGATTAACACTCTGATGCGATATCTTTTCAATTGGAGACCGGATTTTGGTGATAACGAGATCACTGTATGTACGAATTAGATTTGCTTGGATTTTCCTGAAAGCTGAAAACATACTAGAAAACACTCCATTCACAGATTTGATAATTTCAAGAAAGTTTTGTTGGTACACGGCTCGAAGTAAGGCAACCTCACGAGTGTTCTGCGATTTTCAAGAACACCTGCCAAGAAGTAATCACTTACTGACACATGGCTCGTCTGAATCAACTTTAAATGAAAAGTCGATAACACAAAGAAGTCTCTTCGGGGGCTTGAAGTAGGATGCAAGTGCTGTCATTTAAGCCAAAAACGAAAATAATCTGTCGGGCTCTTTGAAAGTATAAACGATTTTTATGTTAATATGCTTGGTTTTTTCAAAAAAATATGTTTCCCTCATTTTCGGGGAGGCCAACAGCGCCAAAAAAGTTAGTGTTACAACATCATATTGTTTTACAAGATTTTAGCTTTCTAATGAGCTATAGATTTTTATTTTTGGACCACTGATTCGCGAGATAATCGATTTTTACCGAGACAACTTCATTTTGCTGCGGGTCCACCCTGTTGGTCCCGGTCAGTGGACCCCACGGTGTCCCACTCTAAGGGTCACCTCCAAATTTTGATGATGGTACCCTCTACATCGTTGACTTTACTTATGAAAGTAAGATTTCATGAAAGAAAAAAATTCTAAAACATTTTTTAGGGGTTGCACACGGCCAAAAACCTCCTGCCGTCCTTGCGCCAAATTCTGCATTTTACCCATTTTTTTCATTTTTTTTCTTTTTTCCATTTAATACTATATTTTACAGATTATAAATAAAGAAAAACTGACTGAATACACTTCAGAAAAACGAGTTTGGTCTTCCAAAAATAAGTGGATAATAATGTTTAAAGTATAATCTTTAATAGAAAAAAGAAAAAAATCCCATGCACCTATCGCAAGTAAGGAAAATCTGAATTTACAGTTAAAAATAAGGGGGGAGGGGTGAATAAAGTGACGTATGAATTTTGGTCGAAATGAGGATCAAGATGCAATTAATGGGACATTTCATGTTGCATTTAACTTTGTGAGCTGAAAAAATCGTTATAAGACAAAAATACAAAATCTTGAAATTATTGCGTTTTTAGCCAATTTTGAGGGTTTATAGCAAAAAACTGGAATGCATGATGACGTCAACCACATTTTTTCTTTAGAGAACCCTAACATATACTCTCATTGTGAAATTTTTGAGGCTCTATCTCAATTCCAATGTTGTGAAAAAAATTCGTCAAAATGGGTAAAATGCAGGATTTGGCGCAAGGACAGCAGGAGGTTTTTGGCCGTGCGCAACCCCTAAAAAATGTTTTAGAATTTTTTTCTTTCGTGAAATCTTACTTTCATAAGTAAAGTCAACGATGTAGAGGGTACCATCATCAAAATTTGGAGGTGACCCTCAGAGTGGGACACCGTAGGGTCCACCGACCGGGACCAACAGGGTGGACCCGCAGCGAAATGAAGTTGTCTCGGTAAAAATAAATTATCTCGCGAATCAGTGGTCCAAAAATAAAAATCTACAGCTCATTAGAAAGCTAAAATCTTGTAAAACAATATGATGTTGTAATATTAACTTTTTTGGCGCTGTTAGCCTCCCCGAAAATGAGGGAAACATAATTTTTTGAAAAAACCAAGCATGTTAACATAAAAATCGTTTTTACTTTCAAAGAGCCCGACAGATTATTTTCGTTTTTGGCTTAAGTGACAGCACTTGCATCCTACTTCAAGCCCCCGAAGAGACTTCTTGGTGTCATCGACTTTTCATTTAAAGTTGGTTCAGACGAGCCGTGGACAGTCATTGTTTTTGGCAGCTAATGTAAAGTGAAATTGTCATTTCTTGTTCATTAAAGATTGGCTACCCATAATTTTGGTTCCCCTGACTTACCTCCTTCGAAATAATTCCCATCTGCATGGATGCATTTCTTTCAACTCCGCTTTGATTGAAAAAAAGAAAAAACTCGTTTAGAACTTCTTGTAGTGGATTGCATGCAGTATCGAGGAGGAGTTCGAAGGAGGTAAGTCAAGGACACTAAAATTATGGGTAATCATTCTGTAAAGAAAATGAAATGGCAATTTCTACTTGCATTAGCTGCCAAAAACAGTAACTGTGAGGAAGTGATTACTTCTTGGCAGGTATTCTTAAAAATCGCAGAACACTCCTGAGATTGCCTTACTTCAAGCCGTGTGCCAACAAAGCTAGCTTGAATTAATCAAATCTGCGAATGGAGTGTTTTTCAGTATGTTTTAGGTAGATTTTGAAGAAGTATCTACCTATTGCAGACGGTAGGACCTCTTAATTTTTGGGGAATTTTTGCTCAAAAAGCATCAATCCTGAAGCCCTGCGTTGAAAAATGTGGCTCATAAAAAAAGTACGATAAAAATATTTACATCTCAAAATGTATGCACATTACATACTATGCTTCCAGCTTTGTTGTATTGTTCATCCGCAATGTTTCAGCTACTCATCGGAGCCATCTTCAGGCGATTTTACTCAAAACTGCACTAAAACTACAACTACGAACTAGGACAAAACATTAAAATAGCTCGGTATTTTCGGTATTTTCGTAATGATTGCGAACCGCACCAAACTGTAAAATTACAAGCTCGCACGCGACGGGGTTATGCTGTTACTGTTATCAAAATCAGCCAAACAATGGAAACATGCACGGATTACACCGACTAATCGCAGATGGACAGTTGCAGTCTTCTAGGTTGAGGCTCATCAAAACAAAACATTTTAGGCAACACTCAACACATCCGTGTCCCTCCTATAATTAATAGCATTGGGGCATCGCTTTATTTGTATGGCTTCATGATATAATCTCGCCCTCGCGTTTTCCTCCCTGATTAGCACTTTTGGGACATCGAAATTGAACGCATGACCTTTTTCCTGCTCATGCTGATACAATACTGTTTTCTCCTTCTTGTCATATTTGTGGGATCTGCAAAAATTGCGAAGGATCTTACATAGGCGTAATGAAACATTACTTGGGGGAGCGGATCCGATCCCACAAATATGATTAGAAGGAGAAAACGGCATTGTATCAGCATGAGCAGGAAAGAGGTCATGCGTTCAATTTCGATGCCCCAAAAAGGCTAATCAGGGAGGAAAACGCGAGGGCGAGATTATATCATGAAGCGATACAAATTAAGCTGTGCCCCAATGCTATCAATTATAGGAGCGACACGGATGTGTTGGGTGTTGTCTATAATGTCTTGTTTTGATGAGGCTCAACCTAGAAGACTGCGACTGTCCATCTGCGATTAGTCGGTGTAATCCGTGCGTGTTTTCATTGTTCGGCTGATTTTGATAACAGTAACAGCATGATCCGGTCGCGTGCAAGCTCGAAATTTTACAGTTTTGTGCGGCTCGTAACCAGTTCGAAAATGCTGTAGTACGGAAAAATTTTAATGTTTTATCCTAGTTCGCAGTTGTAGTTTTAGGTGAAATCGCCTGAAGATGGCTCCTATGATTAGGTGAAACGTTGCAGATGAACAATACAAGGCTGAAAGCATGGTATGTAATAAGCATACATTTTGAGATGTATTATTAATAATGGCAAATTTAGTAGAGATATAGATATTTATCATCAATATAAACTTCAAAGGATTCAGACTTTCAGCAATTCCACTTTTTTCTATTTCACTCGAGAGGTTGCCAGATTGTGCGATAAATGTGAATATTTTACATTGATTTGAATTGAGAAAAGTGTTAAAAAAGCAACTTATCTGGCAACAATAGAGTCCGGGAGGGACGAGAGGCTGCCTTCCTGGGAAAATCCATGATTTAGCTGGAAATATCATTAAAACAATTGATTCCGTTTGAAGCATCAATTGTATACTAAGGGAAAGCTATTTTAAAATAATAATTCTAAATGGAAATAGATGCTACAGAGAGGGGAACAAGTAGCAAAAGCTACCTGCTGAGGGGGCGCCGCCCCCCCAGACCCCCCCTTTCAAATTATATATGTGAGACTTTGAGTATCATAGAAGTCGTGCGGCGACATGCCGAATGAAATGCCACAATTAAAGTTATTGGATCAGATGATGAGCTGATAAAAGCCTTACCCAGTAATTTGGGAACATTTCTGACACAGTTTGGTTGCTTTAACAATCACTTTGATTTGCGAAATACAAATCGTTTTCACTTCGTATGTAGTTAAATTTGATTTTGACTGACTTAGTTTCTGATGGATTCAAATTCATAATATACATTTAGGTTTCAGGGAAAGAAAAATGCAGATGAGCTACACTTCACATGAATATAGATTGATTAAAAATAAATAATCCGAAGAAGTGATGGAATAATTGATAATTGTTTACTACAGTAAATACTAAACCTAGGATTCATAGGAATTTTAAATAAAATCCCACCCATCACTAAAATAACCCATATCGACGGTGAAACTACCAAACCACGTATCTCGTTTGCGGTGTTTAAAAATCTACGCTCACATTTTATTTTTTAAAAGGAAAACAAATCGACAGCATTCCTTGAAATTTTCACGGAATTTTCTCCGCACAAAGAGGAAAAATCACAGAAATTTTCAAGACTGGATGTTAAGTAGTTTTTCATTTAAAAAATAAAGTATGACAGGAAGTCTGCGACGTCGCAAACCGAGATACGTGGTTTGGTAGTTTCACCGTCGATATGTATATACTCGTGGTGCCTGCTCTCGGCTCGATTTCGCCAAATGGAATTCTTTATCATCGCGGTTGTCCTTGTTGCGTGCGGGAGGAAATGAAGGCGCGCTCGCAGTAGCAAGAAGCAGACACGCC